TGTGGACCGCCTGGACAGCAGTTATTTGGCTCGGTCATAGGATGAACTGAGAATCGACTTCCGGCATTTTTCTTAGCGCGGCATTGCGAAGGTGCCATGATCTTTTGGCTATTCTTATTGCTTTTTCGTCTGTTGGCTTGGCTACTTAATCGACTTTTAGGCGATTTGATTAACCTAGGTGGGTCAATGGTAAGGTTTGTATGAGAGTGTCTAATGCTATCTGTACTCTTTGTCATCTGCCCATCTGATGCATAAAGGCTATGCACTGGCTGATGTGGGAGTAGATTAGAGTTTTTGCGCGCCAGGCCATGGGACGGTCCTATGGTGACAGGGTGTCTGTGGCTGGTGCTCGGTATGTTTATAGTCTGAGTAACCCCTGGTGAAGACATGGTAATGTCTTCGGCATTTTGTTGGATCGGTAGGGTAGCACTTGGTTTGGTGGTGATTTGTGTGACGGGAACTGGCTTTCCACTTCTGTAGGCAGTGAGATAGCTTTTAAGAGATCGTGTGCCTGTTTCTAGTGTAGTTTGTCGATTTGCCTAGGCCTACCGTCGCATCGTCGGCTCTACTACGTCTGTGTGTGGGTGTCCTATTTTGGGGGCTTTGGTGTCCTCGTTTCGTTGTTATTGCATAGCAACCAGTTCACTAATAGATTGGGTTCCTGTTGTGGATACCGCAGCCTGACTACAGTTTGCAACCTCTGGTATTTTTATGCGATTACATCCTTGACAAGGTGCTAAGTCTTGTGAAAGTTTGATATGGATGCACTAGCAAGTTGATTGGATGATAGGAAGCGTCTGGCGTGGCAGAGGCTATTAAATTTGAACAAGGGGCAGGTATATTTCCCCCAATTTCTTGCGGGGATGGATAACTTGGCATCTTGCAGAAGACATGCTACGAGCCTGTAAATACAAGACTTTAAGTTGTTTGGTCGGTTCATGGTAGGGTATGTTGTATTCTAGTACATTATATGAGAACATAATTCTTTTATTGACCTCTGTAGCTGTGAAATCTAGCACACCTTCTGACTTCAATAGGGTTTCAACACTGGCTTCTAGACTAGGCTGACAAAGATGCAGCAGTGGCGGGATAACGTCAAGCTTAGCGTTTATGTCTTGCAGTGACTTCCGCAAGGTTTTCAGATCTTCCTTATTTTTACGCGAAGTGTTATATAGCCCCCGTATCAAATCGAGTACCTTAACTTCAAGGCTTCTTCTAGGGCTTGATGTCGAACCAGTTAGCGAACTTGCTCTTTTAGTTGAGACGCTAGGGTTAAGTTTACATGTATGCGCAGCACATATACGTTTGCTGGGCTGGACCATGGCTGAGTAGTAGTAGTTACTCGTTTATTAGGCTCGTCAGTACCGAAAACAAGTAATATAACCGGAAGTTACAGAAGGCTGAGACGACTTGTGTAACAAACATGACAGTTATCAACAAATGTTTCTTTACAGTTCAGTTAAAGTAAATTGCAAAACTACTATGTCTCGAAGTTATCAGCGTTAGTTCGTGACTAAATAAAGTGAAACAGACATATGACCTCTCCTTAAGTAAGTCCTCGTTTTGATTCCTCCGTTTTCTCAGCAGTAATTTCTTGCATCCGGCTGTGTATATCCAAATGGGTATCTCTTGAAGGTGGTATGCATCAACGTTCTAGAAGAGGGGTATGACCCTCAGGAGATTGAGTTTCCAAGAATAAGAAGCAATGTATGCTTCGAAAGTTTCTTCTGTACAGATAGGAGATCTACTGAACTGCGCAGAGAACCGATGTAAAGTACCACGATATGCAGAAGCAGTGTAACATCTGATTCTTATCAGCAAGTACATAGATAGAGTTGACTGCAATTCTCTACTCCGTTCTATGATGGTGCATGGCGTTGCTACTTGACTCGCATATAATTTGTTCTTCCAGCCTGTTTCGGCCGTGACTTCGAATCCACAGCACCTTTTGGTTTTTCCAGGGTAGTGTGGCCTTGTTTTTGTTTGGTGTGGACGGGAGTATGATTCTGCGACAGTTGTTGCAAAGACTTAGGTCGTCCTTCTTTAAGAGTTTGACAAGGTGGCCCTTCTTCCAGTCGAAAAGTGGTGTGAGCATGATCTCTGTTAACTCTGTATCTGTTTTCAGTGCTTCTGGAAGAATTTAACTATCCCTGCTGCTTTCCCGGATTTCAGTAACTTTGTGGAGTTTAGCACTTCGACTTTTGTCAGGGGGCTCGTGTTCACTGGCAGTTTTATGACCAGCTGCACTTTGGACGAGTTGCATGTGGTGGTGGTCGCTTCAAGAGTTTTTGAAGTTTTCAGCCCATCGTTTCCTTTGTCTCTCCTCTTTGGTAACTAACTTTCCTTGACTATCTCTCATTGCTTTCATCTGTGTTGATCTCTTCTCAGATGGTAAGCTGGTTATTTGATATTAATGTTGTCAGGTCTATGTCTTTCTTACCTGCAGCCTGTTCTACTTCATTTGCGAGTGTGTCGTAGAGGTGTCTTTTGTGTTTGCGCTTACTCTTCTTCACTTCTTTGTCTAGTGTCATGTTTTATCTGTTGTGTTCAGTCCCTCTTATCGTTGTTCATCCCTGCACAGCACAGCACAGCACTGCACTGCACTGGTTCATCTTCTGCTTCAGCATCTTCCACTCCTAACATTATCAGCTTCCATGTGTCCGTCGAGACCCATTCCTTGTCTTGATTCTTTCTTCTCCCTACTTAACACGGTTAAGTGAGTTTTCTTCCACGTCAATTTGACAGACTTCCTGTATTTTTCGACGCAGGTTTCCTTGGGGATGTTGCTCAATGTCTCCCAAATTCCACCCGTTAAAATTTTGGTTGTACCATCTCGGGTGTAGTCTTGTCTAGTACTGATTGCAGTTGTCTGTAGAATTCCTCCTTCTTCTCTCGGTCTGGATTATTTGTAGGTACGTAGCATTGTATGACTGTGACTTTGCTTCTTTTTGATTTGGATGTTGCTGTCATGATCCTGATGTTGGAGGAGATTGGTCCCCAGTGAATGAGTGCCTTCGATGCTCTGTGGAACATCATGTTAGCCTCTTGAAACTCGGTGCGCTCGTTATTGTCGTCTGGTTGACAATATCGGAGTAGATAAATGAGTTTGGAGAGTCCACTTCCATTCCTTTTGCTTTCGCAGATTCCTAGCACTTCTATGCCATATCTTCTCATGTCTTTGCAATCTAGACAGCCCTCCTAGCCATTTTCAGACATAGTGCAGACATTCCATGTCCCCATGTTTACATTGCTTTCATCGAAAAGGCATATCGGCCAATTGGCTTCTCGAAGGCCTTCACCAACCAGCGTCATTTCATCTCCCCTATCCCAGTGAGGAACAAGTTTATTCATTTTCAATATTTTGTTTATGCTTTGAAGTTTCTTTAGCCATTGGACTTGTTTTAGGGGGTAGGGTCGCTAGCCCTATGCCCAACCCTCCCTCTTTACCCGGGCCTAGGACCAGCTAGTAACTGGTGAACTAGTTAACCAGGCGAGGCTACTCGTAACATGGTGTACAGTATATCTATAGGGCAGAGAATGCGGTACTAAGGTAAATGTAATTCGACCAATCTAGTGGAATGGAAGAACAGCAGTTTCTCAGGGAGCGATCCTTGTGCCACTCCTATTTTTAATATTCATAAATGACCTTCCCGTTAAAATCTCGTCTGTCCTGCCATTTGCCGACGACATCAAAATATGGGGGAAGACAGGTCAGAAGTAGGACCCCAGGATACCCAAAAATGGACCGTTGCATCTGAAGTCCTGGCCAGTTGCAAATGGTGTGAGCCATAACCTGGAGAAATGTAAGGTGATGTATATTCGCACACTAGATGCGATGAAAATCAACCACACTCCCACACAGTGTGCAATCACCAAAGTATTCACAGAGAAGGACCTAGGACCAAACTTTTCTGACACACTGGATACTACTGGCAATTACGAGGGAATGGCAGCGGAGGCGAACTCCATTGTGCACTTTCTAAAACTCTGGGATTACTCCTTGTGGTACTCAAAACCCATGTTAGACCACACATAGAGGTGTTCAACAAGATGGCCTCCTACTACTGAAGAGAGATGGAAATACCCTCAAGGGGGTACAGAGAAGTGTAACAAGGTCGGCAGTCTGACTGACGGGTAAAAGATATGCGCAACGCCCCAAACAACTCAACTTGTTCGCACTATGCTATCGAAGGAGACGAGGCGACCTGATAACAGACCGCAAGATCATTCACCAAGTGGATCACGCAAACAGGTCGACGTTGTTAGTACAAGACCAACAGCTCCGTGGGAACCCCACTCGGATACCTCACCAAGGGAAAAAGACGAGAGTGAGGCCTAACTTCTTCCCCCATAGAGTATGTGCCTATGGAACGGTCTGCCGAAGGAAATGGCCACAGTTACATCAGTCGACTCCTTCAAACGACTACTGGATGAGTATATGAGCGCAAATGGCTTACTGCGAACATTTGTCAGTTGCAATCGGTGATCTGCTCTTCCATTCCTGTATTTCCCAACCCCAGTATCTGCGATAAGACGCATCCCTTCTCCAGTAACATTTATCTTTCCATAAGCACTTTTCAATCCTTTTTTCACATTCACATACCCTTTGTCTAGCAGTTTTTAAGGAACGCCTAATACTTGCTTGCAGCTAGTTACAAAAAGAGGAACTGCCAACGGTTAATTGATCAGCAGCTCCGTTCCCCCGTAAAACAATCCAAGCTACAGTTTGCAAATAAAATACCTTCAAATAGGCAATCGCTTCCTCCAAAGCTATAAGCAGAAAAACGCAAGGGGTTCTGCGACCATCAAAGGAGTACGACCGAACAAAAAGAACCAAGCCTCAAGACTTAGAAGTGAAAGCTCAGAGAGGATAAGTTTCCTCTACTCACACTATTGATGTTGAATGTTGGATGCCGCCTTTTCCAAAGGATTTGTTACAGGACCTACAGGCAACCACCAGGTTTTTGTGTTGATATTTGGGGAACTCATTTTGAAGTTTGATGGAAAGTTTGGTTTCTTTTTTACGTTGTGAATGTTATATTAACGAACCTACTGTAAGGCTCTAATGTAGTGTTTTACTTCCATGACTAGAAAGTCTCTCTTGTTTCGGAAGATGTAACACAAAGAGATGGCTGTTATGGAGAGTACACAGAAGCTATTAAACTCCTAAAAGATGTAGGTGTATTCTTATTTTCTATGGAAGCAGATTGTAAGCAAGAGCTTGTATACATGGGAGACTTTCCCCATCTCGTTGCCGAAATCTATTCTGTCACTGTTATCTAACGAAGTCGGTGTCCTACCCTCAATAATGATTACTTGATATAGGATCCTTCTATATTGGATGTGTTTTACGACAGCAATGTTGAAGAATGTGAAGGAGCTGCGAAAGTATGTTCTAGGAATGTGAGCCAGTTGAACAAAAGCCAGCATCGAGAAGTTCGAACAGATGCTCATTTTGTATTCCCGTGCATTACATTCACAGGTAATTTTAATACTGTTGACTTGAGTTGCAGGTGAGGTACATACGGTTAAAATTTCACCTTGCCTACTGAAAGGAACTCGAAACATATATAAAGAATTCAAAAAAGTAATAACTTTAGGGAAAAATAATCTCATTTTTGAGGACTTGCATAAAGCCTTATCCGTCATTGTAATAACGTGTGTGGACTTTATGAAAAGTGATAACTTTTCCGTTTTTCGATCTCTGATTGATTTATGCATCTCTGTCCGTGCCTTGTTAGGTAAGTTCACTGACATAATAAATGTTAATTTTCACCATCATGCTTTCTGCGTGCAAGTTTTTGACTGTATCATCTGCTGATAGACAAACGTATAGGTTTATTCTGACCATTGGTGCTTTTCAGTCAAACATATTGTGAGATTTACAAGTTGATTTACCCAGGCTTTTGAGCATCTCATATTTTAAGCTCATGTAATCGATTATTTTTGACGCCTTCAACTCATCTTAGTTTGAATAAAAAATACACGCAATAAGCTATTCGGACGTATAATGTTTGCCTTTTGTTATTAAACTCAGATCTGAGAGTTAATGTGCTAGGGGAAAATGTTTTAACTATTTTTCACTGTAAATGTTCTCGTATCTTTCGTTTTACCTACTTATATGGTGTTTGCTAAGTACTCGGTTAAAACGAATTACTCTTACGTATATCACCTTTGTGGTTGTCTATGAAAGCTACTGTGAGAATTCTTTTAAAGTTTTTCTTGAGGTGTTGAAAGAAAAGTTTTATTTTGGGAGATAAAATAGTAAGTCCTAACATAAGGTAGAATCTAAAGTGGGTTTCAACTTCACTAATAGGCCTGAAAAGTCAGTGGTCGAGAATCATAATAACAGCCTTAGTAACTATACTGTTTTCCGATAATTTCGTTTTCTTTTCGTCTTGCCAGACTTATTTTTCGGTTGGCCTCGAGTTAACAATGGGGACGTGGATCGCAAGTTGCTCGAAGAACGACTTCGATTTCTGATATGTGACCTTTCAGTTAAAGTGAGCTTTGATTTCGTTTATTCTTTGGCGTAAACTAAATCTCATATACCTCCAGTAGCGATTCTTTATTTATCCAGACTATGCCCAGCGAAGTACTTATAGGAGGAGCATGGTATTACGCGTTACATACAACCTATTAAACATATTTTTAAGTGACAACATTTAGAAAATTCTGCGGAAAGTTATTGGTTTCAACACCTAAAATATACGTCACAAGTTTGATTATAAAATAACTTTTTGAATTAGTGCAATCACAGCTGATATTATTGCTACTACAAGTATCCTAAGGCTTATTTGTTGTTGGGCATGCATCTAATACTTACTTACGATCCAGTTTCACTTGGGGATTCATTTCTAGACAGCATATGAGTGGTTGTTTGAGGTGGGGCGATAGAATTGTAAATTTCAAAGTATATTTTCGTTACTGGTTATTCTTTACGGCAATGCCTTTCTCTTTTTTTACTATCATTAATCACCGGTCTTGCCAACCAGTCATGTATACTCTGTTAGAAGAAACAGTTAATTGGCAGACAGCGTCAGCTTGTCCACATTTTTCAGTAAAACGGGCCGAAGCATGTACAGAACATCTTGAAGCCACATTAGTTAACTAAGGTATACCATGTCATAAACTTATTTCCTTCGCTCGCTTTCTGCTCTACAAATAGCCACATTGATCAATGTGGTTCTACCACGCACAGAAACTACTGAGGAGGTTTGATTGCAATCCGTAGTAACTGCTTCTCATAGCCGTAAATGAAGAAAGCACAAATGGTGATGCAGCACCCTTGTCCTTTTAATTGAGACGTTTACCGTTAATTGCCAAGAAATCTCAGTAGTATCACCAGTAGTTTGCAAATTAGCCTTATGCATGCCTACGACATTCAAATGATGTTAAAGTGGTCCCGATATTTTCTTGTGCAAGCTTCACCATTCCTTGCTCGATACTTACATTTAAGTTCTATCAATAGTTCCTTAGCGGTGTTACCTCTATGCGTATTTATTATCACACACTACCCATTCTTTTTTGTAAGGTGGACATTTTTGTATCTCTTGGACAATATTTGGTTGTTTGATTTTGATATACTTACAGTCCAACCATAAGAAAAAAGTAATGGAGTTTTGGGACATTTGCGAATATTTAAGCAAACTGCCGTTCGGGATGTACGAGGTATGATGAAAAATCTTTTCCTTATTATTTCGTTTCAATTTATTAAAACTGATTTCATATACTACCACTTAAATTATTCATAACAAGTTAATAAATGACCACTTTTGAGTTTTTACGAAATCTTCAATATCCGTAAAAGTGGTTCTGCAACAGGAAAACCGCAGCCGAATTCTGATCCCTTATTCAGTGCTTCTTTCAGATAAAGATTCTAAAAGTATTAAAATTCAGGCTGACCATTAGGTGTCATTTTGTGCATATACGATGGAACATATTTTCGTTAATTAAAGTAACCTGGTCACCAGCCTTGTTCATAAAAGTCGATGTGTGCCAGTTTTTATTATTGTAACAGGGAAATTTTGATATTTCCTGCAGTTGGGGATGACAGAAACAGTCCACAATTGCATGTTGCACTGTATCTAAGTGCTTGTACGTGGTAAATTTACATCACATCTAGGTAGATCTGCAAACATCTCTGTCATCTAAACAACATACTTTATGGGTTTAATCTGAGTACAGAGATCAGTTTGGATTTTATTTTACTTCATTTAGCTGATTTGTTCACTTTCATGGTGAGTAATTCTGTTGATGAAATAGAAGATTTGTTTTGCTTTCACATGTCTAACTTACATCATTGATCACTTTAGGTAGGTCTGTAACTTATCTTTTGAGGCAGTTGACTTTCAGCTGTTGGGTCACTGCTTCGAATCCTGCTTCGCTTTCAGATAGGCAGTCAGGTAGAATCATTACCTTACTAGACGTTAGGTTTACTCCTGAGTAAAAAGCGTTAACGAGGTGGTAAGGTTGTGGACCTTGGTTGACTCAGATGACTGTGAAATGTGTTACATATACATTACCACCGAGCACGATCTTAGCTGAAATATGCTTATGTTGGAAAAAGTTTATTATTGGTACTAGACCATGAAGCTTCTTGGTTTTTCTCTGGGCTATGTGGGGAAACATAGACTTACCGGTTGGGGTGTGTGTAACAAACAAAATCTGTGGTTGGAGACTCTAGGTGATATAGCTCAGAATTTATGTTAGTGGCGCGGATGCACCAACATACTAAATTCATCGTAATTATCTTATCATAATTCGTTACTTACTCGACCGTCTTTTCTATGCTTATGCACTCTTACGACTTCTGTCTTTCGCTTCGCTGCACTGTCTTGATGTACGGGTGTGAGGTATGGCAACGTGTGATTTGCATTAAGGTTGTCAGCACTGTAGCGGTCCTAGTAAAAATCACTTTCTCTGTGAAACATGTTGCAAAACTGGATAATGCACAGTATAGTTAGCAATGTGAGGTGTAGTAACTGCCAGTAGTTAAGCTGCGTTCACGAGAGCTTTACTTAAGTCGTTTTTGACAGAGTGACGCAGTAACAGCATCTTCATTTTGCAGCTTCTGACTGCTCAGCAGACGAGATAGTGCATATACTTGACCAAATTCAGAAGGAAGTTGACTTATACTTTGCATCGAAGCCATATCCTAACAACATTACAGTCCATCTTTGGAGGCAATTTGCAGTATACACTCGAATACTCTTCTTCGAACCAAACGTTGACATTAAGGGCTTGTGGTAGGTAAACAGAGAACTTCCTGCCACCTAACATTTAATGGAAATTCTTTTAAGCAAAAATAAGTGCCAATCCTTCCTCATCAATTCGGCTGTATTTGCCTTCATTTGCGATCAGAGTTTAAGAATCATATTCATTAGCTTTCTCCTTAAGATCAGGAAAACGATGAGGAGTGACAGCACCAATGCCATGATCAGATGGATCTGCAGCAACGATAATTTCAAGTTTAGGATCATAATTAGTAAGTAACATATCTGACATGAGCAATGATTTTACCTTGTCAAATGCACGCTAACATTCAGGAGCCCGATTTCATTTCACTCTTTTTGACAGTAAATGGTTAAGTGGAGCATGCAAACGATCAAGCTCTAGTACGAAAACACTACAATAGCTTATGAGACCAAGAAAAGATTGCAGATTTTCGACATTAGATGGAGCAGGCATGTTCTGGATAGCACGTACATCTCCTGGATCTAGTCGACGTTTAGGTTCATCAAAGATAAAACCAAGATATTTAACCGAATCCATGAGAAATATACACTTCTCTTCTTTGAAATAGAACCTATTCTCAGATATTTTTGATAGCACAGCATCTAGACAAACAAACAATTCATACTTACTAGCTGGTGTGATAGTCACATCATCTAGATAGAATACAACTCCAGGTTGGTTGATAAGCATTGTGTCCATGATTAGCTAAAACATAGCAGGTCCTGGTTTGACACCGAAAGGTAGGCGAGTATATTGGTAAGTACTTCTATGGGTATTGATTGTCAACAACTCTGGAATTCGGTTGGATTTCAATTTGAAGATATGCATCTGCAGAGAACTTGCCACCATTAAGTTTGACAAATACGTCTTCCTGTATTGACAGTGGATAAGCATGAATTTCTGGAGCACCACCTATACCGGCGGAAGTATCCGTACATAAACGAATAGAACCATCTGCCTGCGCATTATGTCAATCTCATTGTCAACCAGATTTACTACAGCATAGGGAACTGGACATTTCAGGCGAAACAGCGGTTTGGCATTTGGCTTCAAAGACAAAGAAACCTGGTTAACTTTACCGCAACCGAGCTTGTCTTGATAAACATAGATGCTTCTGAAGTTAGCGTTCCACGAGAGATATATGAGACGAAACAATATCTTGCTAAGATGACTGTTTGTGAGAACATATTGAATTCAGGGGAACATTTAGGATATCCAGCTTGTGTGTCCAGTCCAAACCAAGCAGATATAAATAATGACGATTCGTTGGACGACGTATTGAATTTTTGTTCTGCAAACTGGACCTGACAGCTAGTTTCACCATCGCTTTGTAGCATGCCTCCAGAAACATTTCTAGCATTGTGTTCAGTTGTTTAGATCTGTAGACACCCGAATATGCGCTACGTGCTGCGAGAACTGAAGGTTATATCCAAAGCTGTATCAAGCTAAAGGCGAATATATTTACCACTAGCGGATAGATTAACCTATTTTCTTCTATTCCCAAAATCAACTTCGAAATTTGCAAAAATACTTTGAACGTGACTGGATGACTTGTGAGTAAACAACAGACGTTTAGTCTTCATTGGAGCATTTTTCATTGGATGAAAATAACCTTTGTATCCTCAACAATGACATTGTCGGGATTTCTGTTTTCTGAATGGGTAGAATTAAACAAAGTGCCACAAATCACAAAAGCAACAGACTGAGAGAAATTTACCTAATGGGTATGACTGACATTTGGTGCATTTGGCTGAAGACTGAGATTTTACTGCAGTAACTTCAACCAATTCAGAACTTTGAGATCTATGCTCTGCCATAGTGGTGTGATGTTTCAAGTTGAGTAGACATTGTCATTTTGTGTCACCACCTGCAAATTCATTTTGGGATATTGTTCAGAACGTGACAAGACTCTCGTTCGAACGTTAGCATCCTGAGGATTCTTCAGACCACAAGTAAAAGTCAAACATTTAAACTGGTCGGATGTCATTTCGTTGGCTTTGAATCGTTCGAATTCATGATTAACTTTACCAGCATAGGTCGTTTAAACTTCGGAAGGTAATTTGGATAATTGAAAGCATCGATATCGAATATTAAATGAGAAGAACTGCTCACCAAAAACTTGAGATACAACGCTGATAGTTTCAACGAATGACAATTCACAAGTCGTTATATAACGACTTCTTTATCATTGTTTTGCATAAACTCCACACTTAATACTAGACCACTCCTTACCTAGTAATTTATAGTCCTCGTGGTTCTCCTATGTTCATGCTTATATTTTATTTTCTGCCAAAGGAAAATTCAAACGACATTCCCCTACCGTATCAATTTCTAACACCAACTCGCATTTCAGTAGATCTTCGTCTTCACGATCCTGTTTTGCTTGAACGCTGTCTACATGTGATTGGAGAATTGAAGACCTCCGTACTGGGTGACTGGTTTCAAGATTTCATTGAATTCTCTATTTCACAGTATAGAGGTAATTTTGTAAAGATTTTTAGTACTTGTATGTTCCTATGTTTATGTACATACCACGAAATCTAATCTAAAGCAACTAACAGACAAAGATACTATAGCAAGGTATTTAGTTTCAGCTTACTTTAGATACTTAGGGATTAGTCTTGGAAAATTGGACAAGGGATAAATATCGCAGTGTATCACTATTCAAATGGCCTTGAAGAGGATTATGAACAGAATGGAAAGATAATAATGTAAATAGGTTCTTGTGAGGAAAGAAGTGTTAGTAAGATTTTCAGAATCTTTAAGATAACAGAGTGAATTCACCAAAACTATTGTAATGCATTTTGAGTCAACCACTGACCCCTAACTTTCGAGAGCTTCAGTCACGCAGCTGATAAAATCTTGACCAAAAGTCATTGACCTCACGCATTACTGCCTAATATATATCTTATGGAAATTGAACTATTTTTGTTTCCATACGGCGAACGGCACTGAGGTCTAAGATTTAGTGTGACTATCTAAATTTATTAATATTTTTCCCTTGTGTTCCTAGTGGAACATAAGGCTTCAGTAGCACGCCTCAATTGCACTCTGTTCTCTGCAGTCTTTTGAACCTCACTTCACCACTGCCTAGAAGCTTTCATTTCTTCCTCACGTGATCTCCACTATGTCACCCTCGGGCACCCAACTGTTTTTTATCGTAGGCTTAAAACTATTGATATGTTTGGCCTGAAATTTTTACCATTTTTCATCCTTACTATTCTTTAACATTAGTATTCAAGTGTCTAAACGGGCTTGTAACCACGGGGCTTTCAGGTGGTGTACTACTAAAGGTTATCTACTGCCCTTACGTTCTAATTGGTTATTCAGTTTCTATTCCTTCATAGTGACACTTATCTTGAAACTTTCACATCAACAGCTATAATTGTCAGTACGCTGTAATATTTTTCACCGAAAGTCGTATTCATCAGATAAGTTTACCACAAATGTAAAGATTAAGAAAATGGTATTATTTTGTTAACAATTTGGTCATGGGTTTAAAGACATAGGTTAGTGCAAATATTCAAGCTTTAGAAGATTTCAAGGAGTGAACACATCCGCGCCAATGTAACCGATTTTCAGCCATGTCACGAAGAGTCCTCAACCACTGGTTCCTGTCTTCTAGGGGATCCCAACCAAGCAGTAAACATCTCCCAACACAACTCAGATCAACAGTTAGGGACTTCATCGACTGGTGCCAGGGCTTGATATGGACACCCTGAACCCTCTTCCAATTTAATCCAACTTTCCCATAGAGTGGCACGTTGAAGTAGGCGGTGGATCGGCATGCACAGTGCATGTCCGAGCCATCTCAGTCGACTAGGATTCACAACCTCATCAATCGACTTGCCTGTTGCTTTGTCTAGTACCCTTCGCCTGACTTCAGCATTGCTCACACGGTGATCCCACCAAACGCGAGGAATGCTACAAAGACATTTGTGATCAAGTCCTTGTAATCGCTTCATGTCTTCTACTTTTAAAGGCCATTCCTCACAGTCGTATAACAGGACAGAACGGACTGCAGTGTAATATACTCGTATTTTGATAGATAGTCGGATATCTCGCCAGTCGGCGCCACAGAAGACGCAAGTTGTCAAATGCCGAACAGGCCTTCTGTATTCGAGCTGAGATTTTGTCAGCAAATAGCACGTTCGGACTGATGCAACTCCACAACTCAAGTCAGTGAAGTGGTCGACACATTCCACCACTCTACTCCCTATAAGTAAACTGGGATTACTTGCAGCAGACCAGTCCTGGAGCATCATCTTACATTTGACAGATGTGAAACGCATACCAAACATACACAGATTTCTGGTCAACGCGTCCAGAAGACCCTGGATTTTGTCAGCGTCTTCATCCAGCAGGACAATGTCGTCTGCATGCTCCAAGGCACCTAGTTGGCCACCAGGCAGTAGATCGATCTCTGTGAAGTCAGACGTACCAAAGGTTATGTTCATGAGTACGCCTATAACGAAGTTAAATAGGAACCGTGACAGTGGGCATCACTAGTTGTCATCAATTCATGTGACAACTTCCTATAACCCTTGACACGCCTACGTGAGTTAGAGCATAGAGCTTTGATAGGCATTACATACTTGCTCGGTATTGCCTTCACAATCAGAGACTGCCATAACAACTCACGGTCGAAGGAGTCAAATGCCGCTTTCAGGTGAAGAAATATGTCAAGTGTCGGCCGCTGGTAGGTATGTCCATGTTCTAGAACCTGTCACAGGGTGAAAATATGATCTATGCACCCTGGCCTAGGTCTGAATCTTGCTTGCTTCTCATGAGTTTGCTGTTCGCTTAGCTCCTACGATCTTGTACACAATATTAGTGAAACTAATTCCTCTATGGTTATCACAAGAAGATTGATTTCCTATCTTATAGACTGGGGTGATTAATAAAGTCTTTCAACACTGGGTGCGCATGCTAGGACGAAACAGCTATCCAGTGTTCCCAGGTTTCCAATGTTCCTCCAACATATATCAGTCCACGATGAATACCTAGTACTTCCGTCAATCTAACTAGCAATCCCCTACCTCCATCTTTCAAAACCACAGGTGGCAAACTGTTAGGTTGTGCTGCTTTGCACCATTTCAGATTTGATACAGCTTTTTCATCTAGGAGGAGAGTTAGAGGACTGACATCTACGAGCCATTCAGGTTCAGGCTGGATGTCTGGTAACTGAAGCGTTGCTGTGGACCAGTTGAACTGTTTCAAATTGTCCTACCCAACGTTCTAGCCGCCTGTCTCAGGAGGTTATCAGCGTACCATCCTTTTCTGTGGTGGTTTCACACCATCGTCTTCTTCTTCTTGCCGGTATTCTTAATAAGCTTACATAGTTGTTGAGTATTACCCAGCCCTGATACCTTCTCCATCTCTCGTTTTCGTCACCCATCACTGCTCGTGGTCGACACAAAGACTCTTGTCAATTTTTGTTTGAACTTCTTTCGCTCCTCCTCGTGGTCAGGACGCCCTGTTTTCTGGCACCAATCGTTTTGGATGGCGTCGCGGGAATCCAATAACGTTTGCTGACCTTTAGGTGTGGGTTACCAGTTGCCTTTACCGCTGTTTGTACAGCTTATCTAATATCAGGCCAGTTTCAGATAAATGCTTAGCTAAGTCTTTAAACATGTGCTTGGGGTCCTCATCTACCAGTCGAGCTCAGATGGGCCTCGCTATCACTTACTTCCTGCGGCCAGTAAGACGCCGACAACACGTACTCGCACTAGTGCATGATTGAAGTCCAAACTGGTACTCCAGAAAGAGCGGCAATCGTCCACCGATCCTTTCCAACGGTGGCTTATAGCTATGCTATCTGTGGCCATCGTTGGTTTGATGTCGGTGGACGTCATGTGAGAGTGTCTTTTTATTTTTGGAGTTAGTGGTGACCAGAAACAAGTGGTTGTAGGAGCACAGTTGCAACAGACGATCACCGTTGTCAATTCGTTGGCATGATATTCCGTAAATATCCCCAAGATACCTCTGTGATTGATTCAGCTTCCGTACTTGAGCGTTAAAGCCACTTGCCATCACGATTATATCTGAACGTTTTGCTTTCTGTAGCAAAGTTGACAACTTCTCATAGAATTCATCCTTTGTATCATCTGCACTACAGTTGGTGGGTGCGTAGGCGGAGATTATGAATAAGCATCAGTTGGTCTCACTATCCTTTCTAGTTCTTACAGATCCATTCAGTCAAACAGCACATAGACGACTGTTTACTGGTATGCAGTTGAGCAAATATTTGAAAAAAATGTGTAATTCGCTATTTAGAAAAATGATTAAGACATGACCAGTCGTGTTGCAAACAATCACAAGAGGGTTGATGTAATCCTGTGATATTTCTGTAATTGATTCATCACATTAGTGGCAGTTAAGCTGGATCTGTTTCCATTCCGTCTGATACCTGCTTTACTTCCTTCCTTACTATATCAACTAGTCGACAAAAGGTAGTATAGATTTTTGTAACAAACAGCTAAATCAATCTAGAACCTGTCTCTACAATGGTTCATTTCCAGTTATCACACTTTGATGCAGAAAGCTTGTTTCAAAAAGATATGGAAACATTTAAATAGACAAGAAAGGTATAGGATGAGAGCGAATAAATAATTGAAGTTTGATGAGGTTAGTAATGAATTCATTTCCACCGTATTAATGCATTT